AGAATCTGCTTGTTCAAGGAAATGATTTTCCGATGATGTAGCTGGGAGGCTCCTAATTTTTCTGGACTATCTTCAGCGGATAACTCAGACTGCTGTAGGCAAAAAAGAGGACAAACTCAAAGGATTTAATTAGTCCACCCGGGCTCTTGTAGGGGCCCTCCCTGCTCAGTCTGGGCAGAGCACTCCTGGGCAGCCAGTCACAACCAACCCAGGGCAGCTATGGGGCCCTGTGCAAAACCCAGGTCCAGGGAAGGAGATTCTGAGACCATGGACCCAAAGCTCTATCCAAAGAATCTGCATTCCCAGCAGATGCACCAGCATGTGCAAAATGCACAGGGATATATAACTGTGGTTATGCTGATATCCAACAGGTGATAGGGCACCATCAAAAGGTCTAAAATACCAGAATAACGTGATCATATGAATTATCTTCCTAAGAACATTCTGGAGTTATCAAGAATGATGAACTGATTCATTTTCATCAAAGTGTTATAAGCACATGGTTAAAAAGTTTCATTATTAAGAAGCACTTATAGTGCTACCTCCCTTTTTCCCCACCCATGGGCCTACTCTCTTTAACCATTTCTGATTTCTGTTCTCTCGGTATTCAGAGGGTGGTTTTGAGAGGGTGAGAAGTTGTTGAGATAGGCCAAGGAGCAAACGTCTGAACTTATGTAACTGAGGAGGGGATGGAGAAGAAGGGTTGGACAGGGTGCAGAGACTGTCAGGATTGGAAGCAGGCAAGGGAGAGGTTTCTGGATGAGGTGATGAGGTGAATGAGGCGACACTTCCAGGAAAGGCAATGGCATTACTGAGAAACCGTGGAGAGAAGGAACCAGCCTGGTGTAGAACTGAATACTTGCTCAAGAGCTCAGCGAGAGACTCAAGAAAAAAACAAAACAACAACAACAAAAAAACCCAACAAGGTCGACCCTGTTGCAATAGATATCCTGAGAGCACTTCCTGGATGCTTACAGACACCTTTATTAAACAAATACTCATTATAACCCCGTTTCCTTTGTTAATGAAAGTATCACAAATCCAACCTAATTACTGATTTTAAGTCCAAGTACAACAAAGCTATTTGGGTATTTGATTTTTCCCTGCATGTTTTAAGAGTGATTATGGGCTGGAAAGTCTGGAAAATTCACCCATGGGCAAAAGAGATGGGAAAGTGAGGAGGAGGAGAAATTGGTCCGTCACCACTCATTTTGGTTAAGGATTTCCCTGAGTAACTCAGCAGCATCATCAACAGATGATGAGCGTTTTCCTGCTTAAGAGTCCTGGAGGTGGGAAACAACCAGCAGCGTATGGCTACATAAAATGGGAAGAAATATCATTTTCTATCTCCTGGGCAGGTAGGCCATAAAGGAAATAGAAATACTATGGATATTTGCTATTGCAACGTATCTAGCCTTGAAACCTAGGACTCTGCAAAACATCAACTAACATATTCCAGCTTTTTGGGATTTCTGGGAGTTGGGAGTTAAATTTTTTCAATGCATTTAATTTTACATATACCAAGATATTCACAATCTGCAGTCTGGGGAAAAAGAAACTGTTTCTGAAAATTATTTCAGAGTGTATAAAAAGGGGGGAAGAGGAGAGACTTCTTCCATCACTGAATCACTTGTCAGCAACAGAATTACTATGAACTAATTCTCTCTCTCCCACTTTGGCTGTATCACCCTGAACTACGTTATTAATTTGGCTCTTTTTGTCTGTCATATACTTAATAGCTTCTTCCTTACAGCTAATTTCAGCTCTGCGTTTTAACATCTGACTTAGGATTCCCTAACACTGATTTCCATAGTGCCACTGACACAGCCTCAGAGCATTTTACTTTTACTAGAAGGATTACAGAAGCCTGTCTCATGATTCATTGATCTTTGAAGTAGACCTGCCCATTCACTGGAACTATCCCACACAGGCGGTCTCCCTGTTTGATGTCAGGATTACTCTTGAGTATCCTGACCTCCTCCAGCTGACTGTCTAGCTTTGGACCAGACTCAGTGGTGGACACGCAGGCTCCAGTGGATCCCTGGGTGACTCACCTCCCAGAGGTCCTCCAGTCTGTGCAGGACTGAGTACAAACTCATTCCACTCTGTCCTGCAGCTCTGGCATGGGCCCAGGTTTTCC